TGAAGATGACTTCCGCTCAGGTTGTCGAAACGTCAGTCACCAACAACAGTTCTTTTCAGAACTACACTCACCCAGACGATCACACTATACGAACTAATATCAGTATTTATTATGACATACTCTTCAAGCGCTCCCAGATAAAACAATCTGCTACTTGATTTTGGCGGTTTTCTTCAGTTTTTCTCATAGAAAATGCGTAAACTAGTAACAACAAAATAATCACCTTTTTTCTTTTCGCATCGATCTCCAGAGAAGCCAGGCTGGCAAATACAAGTTTGTATGTTGCCAACAGGTTTGCAGATTCCGCCATTAAGGCAATAACCTGGTGTGCATATTTCTGTTAAAAAAGAAAGCAAAGGTCAATCACAATATAATTAGACACTCAATTTTTTGTGTCAGAAAACTAATATGTCTATTTATAACTGCTAATAGTATACGGGTAATCTCCCTGGGAAAGTACTTTTTCCCGAAAGTAACTTTTCTTTTTGAAATGACGAGGCAAGATTTCTAACAAGACAAAACTCAGTTAGATGTCAAGCCTGTGATTCAGAGCATAGTCCGCGCGTATTCGCTGAAAAGACAAGTTGAAAATGTGGTAAAAGCACTGAAAAGAACTGGGGTGCAAGACTGCTGTTCTCAAGTGTGGCTTAATGAATATGAATATCCAATTTCAGGCAAGAACTGTATGGCTATTTACGACATGAGCATATGGAAGTCTGAAAGTTGACTATTGGTCTCGTCCTACTCTCGTACTACTGTTACTTTACTCACATCATCTAGCCTATTCATTTCCACCGGCATTTTTCAGTGTTTGCGATACTTGAAAGATACATGGACTGAATGTCAATTATTTCTTACCTTTTTCACAATGAGTTCCAGTGAATCCTTCCGGACACCTGCACACGTAGGCTGTATTAGTGTTGATGGACTCACAAGTTCCTCCATTTCTACATGGATTGGACTGGCAAGGATTGTTGGTTTCTGTTTAAATACATTCAATAATTTCTTCAGTTTTCTGCTCTATTCTGGTTTTGAACTGGCTATGGGTCATTCAATTTACCCGATTACAAAAAGTGGTCTTAATGCAACAAAACCGAAGAAAGCCCGGCTTGAAGAAAGGGTATGAAATCAAATAGGACCATGAGTGGTTAAAAGCAAAAAAAAACGGCTTTTACTAATCTAAGGAAGACAAACTAACTTTCGTTGAGTCCAATAGGCATTTTCTCATGTTCAAAGTTTCCTGTATTTACTTTCAGACTCATGTTTCTAAAATCTACCAACATTTATAGGATCATGGTCATGAATCTTTGCTCAGAAATCTCTTTTTCTACCAACCTTGCGCTGACTTTACCCACACCAGGAATAGATCAAAGAGGCCCTTCACATCGCGATCGAATGGGAACACCCTCGCTAAACAGCAGGCTCAAACTGCCTCACTTCTTTATTGCTTTCTTTTCATTAGTTTTTCATTATTAAGGTTTTCTCACAATATTACCTTTAAATAGCGATCATTCATCCATTTGTCTCGTAATTAGTGCACTGGGAACTACCGATATAGCCTTAAAAATTAACACTTCCTGTTATTATTCTCTTTATGTTATTGACTACTCATTTTATAGTCATTAAGATGCTGTAATAGAGATATTGAAGCATCAGGACATGAACTCCTCCAAGGTCAAAATTCTTGTCGTCTTTCTTAGGCGTTTATTTTTATTCTCGTGTTTGTCTGAGTGTGAAAATGTACGTACTTCCAAGGTAACATCCGTCCTCTCTGAAATCCATCTCCTCGCTTTCACAATAACAAGCCCCGTCTGCGTCACATTTCTGAGCGTAAACAGGAGGAACTGCTAAGGGGTTACCCTTCGGGCAGCCGCATTCTTAAATCAAAGGAAATAGATAACAACATTCGCGTCAAAGATCACAAGAATCTTCAAAGATTATAAAATTGGTGATTAAAAGGTAAAGGTGATGATAGATGCTTATAACTCGCTCTCGCTCAAGCCCCTTCATGTTTTTTGGCACAGGGCTTTATATAATTGCAAGTTAGCTTATGTGCCTATTTACATAAACAGTACTAACAGTGTAAACCTCAACAGCACTTCTTCAATCGTATTGATATCACATACATAATTCAAGGTGACTACAAAGTGAGAGTTTGCAACCCTAATTTTTAGGCGGCGAGACTGAGGCCAATCGGATTGGGCCTCAAACAGGCCACTAAATGATATGCCCTATTCTTGCTATAACCCATTATTTATTATTATAGGTTCAGAAAGGAGTTGAGTAAATAGCTTCAGAATGAATGATTGCCCGACCTGGTGTTCAGGCCAAACATTGTGCAGATGCAATGTGGCCTTTGGCACAGCATGTTACCAAAACCAAGCACTAAAACTTTAAACGACTGAGAAATCAGTTATGGGTTACCTTTACAGGTTGGTCCGGTATACTTTCCTTTGCACTTGCAAACGGCCTTCCCGTTTTCATCCACACAAGTTCCTCCATTCTGACACGGATTACTTAAACACGCATCGATGGCTGTAAAAAATTATATCAAAGTTTATAACTCTAGCACCTTATGCTAAGTTTGATTGCTATTCAATTTGCACATTATGTCGTTAAGTTAACAATAATGATAATCATTCTAGTGAATTAAAAGCTACTATAACTAAAGATATTACTTTTACTTACGACGTTCGCAATTTTCGCCCGTGTATCCGTTCTCACAAACGCATGTAAATCCACCATCACGTGTTTCTACGCATTTTCCATCATTTTTGCAAGGATTAGGGACACAAGCATCTTTATCTAAAACATGTTCAGATAAGTCGTATTATTATTAGGCTGTGTGTGAAACCTTTAAGATATTGCTTATGATTCTGAAGCGTTTTTCAGTACAAACTCGACGTTATTTAAACATTTCCGAAGTAAACTGCGTGAAAAAGAATAAAAAAAAATAAATAACTGAGACAAAAGATCGCTATCGATAACTTATGCAACCGGGTTCAAAGTTGCTCGCGTATTTGTTATTAGACTAATCGAGTTTTGAATAACCAGGCTATGGTAAAGAGGTCGTCACTTGAAAATTCGGTGACTTATATCTTACCTTCACAGTGCTTGCCACTTGTTCCCGGAGGACATTCGCAATCATACTCTCCTGCCTCGAGTTCTTTGCACTTAGCCTCGTTCTTACAAGGATTTGGGTGGCAAGGGTGAGGAATTTCTTGTTAAAAGAAAACATTAGTCAGAAAGGGAGGCAATGAAATGTGGAAACAAAATAAATAGATATCTTAGTTTCTATATCTTAGATATGTTAGTTTCTTCAGAAAGGTCACTTTATCCTTACTTCTGCATATAAAGCCATTTCCATAAAACCCTTCCACGCAAAGGCAAGTGTCGTTGATGCATTTGGCATTGATGTCGCACTTTTTACATATATCCACTGCAAGAAAAAAAAAGTTGAATTGCAATCATAACCGGAGGACTTAAAATTGTTTTAATACATGTCTAAGTAAACCATGCATATAACCAGACAGTGCTCTTGCAGACTTTGGAAAATCCAGCCATTAAAATAACCGAGGATTGACGATCTGTATCATTCAAGTCAATTTTGGGAACCGGGAACTTTAAGGCTTCTTGCTTAGCTGTTCAAAGAGGTTTCGATTTACTTCATTTACGAGATGCATTGACCGAGAATCATGTTGTGATGAACTACATTAGCTCACAACAAGCCAGTACCACCAAGATAATAAAATACCACTGTTTTTAGATATAATCGACCTTAAATATGATATTTTAGAGACAAATGAGATATGTCTGAAAAAAAATTTCGTCCCTAGCTTTCATCTTAAACAAATTTCATATTGTTTGTTTTGCTTCACCTGTGTCGTTAGAAAAGTAACGTCAATTTGTATTTTTTCAGAGGTTGAACGTTAATTTTTTTCTGAGTAAGTTGCACCATAAATATTTATATAAGACTGAGATAGGTCTCCATTTTGGTGTCTTTAGTTATTCGATGATGTGTTGTTATTTTGCACGTTATCAGTGACAACCAAAGGTATCTTACCTTCACAGTTTGATCCAGTAAAGCCTGCCTGGCAGATGCAGAGGTAGTGAAGAAAGCCCTGATTCCATTTATCAGGATACGCGCTATAACCACTGTACGAGTCGATACAGATACCGCCGTTCAAACAAGGACGATTGTAACACGGATGAGGAACTGCAAACAAATATGTATTGTATATTTGAGCGTTGGAACAATAAAATGTTTCTTTCTTTGCTCTTAAAATTACCTTAACAATAAATAAACTCTACTGGAGAGAAAGTGAACAGAGGACGAGCCATGTTGATACAAAATGCTTCTGACAAACCTCCAGCAGGAAACGAAAGACCTATCATAGAGCTGAAAATGCATCAGCTGTATTTTGGCTAACACTACCTAAAATACCACGTTTAGGTGAAAATAAGAAAGATTAAAAGTATTGTTAACCGACGTTTCGATGCATCAAGCAACTGATTATTCGATCTCTTAAGTGAATATAACTCTCAGCAAAGGTGATGTGAATGAAAGAAAAGATAATTTTGTTAAGACATACTTTCACACTTATTTCCTTTGTAAAGCGGAGGACAGTAACACTTGGAGTGACCGTAAAACACTCGACAATGTCCACCATGCAAGCACGGGCTAGGATGACACACGTGACCTAGGAAATTAAACATAATGAATGGACGCGTGAGTACAGGCTCATCATTGTTGCAGGCAAAACAAACGCTCTTCGTTTTCCTCTGGCGGCCAGACTGAAACACGCGTCATCTTCTTTATCACAGACATATGATCCTATATGATAAGTGATAAATACCTGCTAAAACTCATGCTTAGAGATAAGTCGACTATCTCGTAACAAGACAACACAGTTGTCCCCAAACATCAATGCAAAATCGCGTGTTTGCCACAGAAATTTATTAAAGCAGTTCAGCTATTAGTAGTTATTGTCCCACTGTCTGCGTTTTATTCTTTTGTTTGTTTGCTTGATTTATTGTCTGTTTTTTTGTATATCGCCGTATCGTTTTGTTTGTTGATTGGTTACTGGAGAAAACTGTGTGAAAAATACTTACTTTCGCAGTTGCTTCCAGTGTATCCCAGTCTGCACGTACAGTTATATCCGAATCCGTCCTCATGGCAAGTTCCAGCATTAAGACAAGGGTTCGTGTAACACTGCTTTGTCTCTAAATTATTGGACCAGAAACAAGACAATAAGGATAACTTTGTTAGCTTAAAAAGAAATTCGAGATCTCAAACCCTATTGTGTGAGAAACTGGCTAAGGAAGATACTGCTGTTATTTTGCTTTCTATGGAACACAAAAATAGTTAGTAAGTAAAGCAAAGCAAAAATATCTTAATCGTGAGCTGACCTGTACACAAAGTTCCCTTGAAAGATGGAGGACAAATACAGACGTATGTATCATCTTTTGACTGCTGACATGTTGCACCATTTTTGCACGGATTTGGATCACACTTGTTTATGGCTGAAATGAAATCAAACATTTATCCAGTAAAACGGCAAAACTAATTATCTTACACAAAACCCACCTCTCCTTTAACTAGAAATGTCAAAAGTTTATTACTATCTTATGAATGCAAATGAGCACTTCCGAACTATACCATCATGGCACTTACAATCACAATGTTCTCCTTTGAATCCTTCCTGGCAAATACAAGAGAACTTTTCCTCAGAATCAGATCTCGTACACACGCCTCCATTTTTACAAGGGTTTGGGTGGCAAGGATTAGGCTCTGCGAAGAAAGTCAAAATACAGGTTGAAAAACGAAAAAAAACAAAGTCGTACGACGCATTTTATAAAAATAAATTAATTAAAGCAAATCAATGCAGTTTCGATTCTCCAGAAAACATAATTTATTTCTGTGTAATGTACTCTGTTCAGTGATCACACATTGTTGTATATATTGCTATATGATTCTTAACGTTAGCAGCGTTTTTATTTACATAACTTCAAACACATGCGAACTGTTTCTCTGTTGGTTAATGTTGGTGTGTCTTCGTATTCGTTTTTTTTTTTTCTGCACAGTGCTTAAATTAAATGACGCATAGTCATAAATGTTATCATATCTCTCAGTTAGTACGCGCGCTGTGATTGGTCAATTTAGCGGGCCGTTATCTACTGTATAGCCCGCTAAAATTTAAAGCTGTTTTTGTTGCCAAAATGTTTCGTGATTTATCGCCAAGTGTTCTTAACATTTTTAGCAATTAAAAGTTTAAAACTTTCTTTTGCTTCTGAAATTGTGTATTAAAACCAGCTAACGACTTAAGAGTCACTTAACAACGATTTCGAATTGAGTCGTTTTGCTTCCGAAGTGCGTCAGAAATTTGAAGCCGTTAGTCCGCGTGAAAAGATATCGTTCCCGAGCCCGTCAGACACGCAGTAGCGATATAATAAATATCTTACTAACCTCGTCTTCTCGGTCCGTACTGTAAGTCACAGAGCGTCGTTTTCCCCTTCGATTTATGGCCCGTGCGCTTCGCGCTTACAGTACGGTCCTCGAACTCGGTTAGTAAGAGGTACACTGTATTTATATCAGGCCCACTAGAAATGATAAATAAAAACAAGCGTTTTGAGGTGATTCAACCCTGATGAAAGGGTTATCCTCAACAAAAAAAAAAGTCTCTTCATGCAGTATTTGACCGCTCTTGAAACGTTGTTCGGGATTATTCTGCACTTATGGTGCCCGCTAATTGGTTGTATCCATTTAGACTTAGATCTTAAAATAAGAGTGAATGTATGGACCGTTCAACAGGATAAAAAAGAAGTCGTTGAAGAGGGGTGGGCGTTAGTAGAGGTTCCATTGTATTATTTTGTTCTCGTATTTAATTTACGAAGCTTTGTTCTTACCTTCACAGACAGCACCAAGAAATCCATGAGCACAGTTGCATTTAAACGCACCAGAAATTTCGGTACAAGTAGCGCCGTTTTTACAGGGATTTGAAGCGCAATAGTTTCTATCTAAAACACAAATTGACTGATAATTATTGCCTTCAAATAACACGAATGATATAAATAAACGGAGGAGTATGAAATACGGTTCCTACATGTATATTAGAAATATTAAAACTTTTTTTTACGCCTGACAGGAAACGTAACCAAACATAATAAAGCCAAAACTTCTCTTTAAGATCATGTTGCGGTCATGAAAATTGCCTAGAATATCTATTTGATCTCATCTATTAGATACTTGTTGATAGTTCTCTTACCTTCGCAGTTCTTCCCTCGAAATTCTTTCGGACATATACAAAAGTAGTCATGATGTAGCTGTACAAATATCCCTCCATCTTGGCAAGGATTTAAGTGATCTGTAAGAGAAGGGAGATTTCGTAGAGTGAACATAAAATCAGACCATGTTATACTGCTATACTAAATTTTGTATCACATACGGTGGTCATACGTTTGCGATAAACCTTTCAAACACCTGTTTTTCTAACAGAATAAGCACGAGCAGAAAATGGAATTATGAATTACAAACACCATCTTAGGGAGCACAACAATATTTTAAGTAAGTTAAACAATAATCATACAGGTACTTGCTTGGACGCGCGTCTTTTTATGCATTCAATGAAAAACGGACTCCACACTTTAAATATAAATGCTTTAGTGTTGATTTGTCGTTCAAGGTTTTAAATTTTGCATGATTTCATGCTGCGAATCACCAGTTCGCGCCAGTCATGCAAATCAGCGTGATATTTTTTATTAAACAGACCATTTTTATCAAGTCTCCTTCTCGCAAACCCAAATCACGATAAACTTCTGTTACCACTTTAATTGACAAAATCAACAGGAATGTTCTTGTTACCTAGAGCTTAGCGAGACAAAAGCCAAATAAACCCGTTAACCACAACCAATCAAACACTGTTTCATATAAATTTAGTTGCAAAGTGTGACAATCTTCCCCGTTATTTTACAATGAGAATTTAACGAGAAATAGGGTAAAAGAATCCTCTATAGACGAAAGGGTTAAATCACCGGCAGTTTAAGCCATCTGTCCACCATATTGCCATCCAACAACAAACTGGACAATACCTTAAAAATCTCATTCGTGAACGGCGTTACTACAAATATTACAATTTCAAACGTTTTAGACCAAATAAAAAATTATTTACAGAATGTTTCTTTCACCAATTAGTCGCAGTTAACAACAAAGACCGTATAGGTGCTTAACAGTGGGAAGGCCACAATCTGGTCAGGTAGAGACAATAAAACGACGATATAAATAAGAAACCATCTATAAATTTCGTCAATTATAATAATTTGGGTTTTTTTGGAAGTGAGTAGGCGTACTATAGACATCGTCTGGTTCACTGACTCGTTCAAATATATCTCACGTCCCGGTCGAGGGCAAGGAAATCTGTTTCCATATCACTAAGTTCACTACCTGTTTGAGCTTTCACATCCAATGCGAACCTTAACCTCTTTTGGTTATTAGTGTTAACAAGTCGGCTCATACTCACACTTGGGGCGCAGATGGAGATGTGAAACATGTACATGTGACGGTACAGCGTAAGGTATGGGAAACGGCTTTGGAACATACTGAACGGACACTACAGGATACGGCTTTGGAACAACATGGACGTGATGACTGTACAAAGGTCCTTGAATGATAGGATGATGGGAATATACCCCATAATTAGGAGGATATCCATTGACGACACTCAAATATCTTCGACTTCCACTCATCTCTTTAACTTCTTCAGCTGCAGTATTATTTGTCATAGTATTTAGCACATCAGCCGGGTTTTCGTCTTTTACTTCTCTGACATTAAGTCCATGTGCTTGATTGTCTTTGTTTTGAAGAAGCTTTGTCTTCTTTTTTAGAGCTACCGCATAACGTCGGCCCGCTGCAACGATGCTGGAATGAGCACATATACAGAATACCTCGTACACGGCTAAGAGTTTGAAGAAAAACATAATATTTGTTGAGGACTTCAGAGCCTCGGGGAAGTTAAATCATTCCATTGTTAATAAAGATACAGTTTTTCGCCTAAGCTAGTGAATTATTGATGCAATAACTGGTACGTTAAAGTGGCACCTTTTTTCCATTTCCTTGAACAAATCTTGTCAGGGTGGAACAGCAATTAGGTTTAGCTAAACAGCTAACATTTTATTTGATGAGCGATCTAA